AGGAAACCGAGGCTTGGGAGAGGTTACATGGCCTACCCTAGGATTACTTGGCTGAGAAGTGGCAAAGTTAGGATTCAAACTGGCTGGTGGGTACGACTGAAACTTAGCTGGTGGTCAATGGTTTTCAAACTGCAGGCTGTGGCCAATTTGTGAGCCATGGAAACCATTAAGGGGGCTGCAGCTGACATTTTTTCCTCTTTAATTTTATTAACCAGTACTTTAATTAATTAAGTAAATGACAATAGAAAATATCATATCAGTAAGGGTGAGTATTGTGTCCTGAAGCTTTTTTTTTTTTAACTAGTTATATCCATCTACATCCAAGCAAGGATGTTCTGGGTCAAAATTCAAAATGTATTTCTTATTGTTTGAGAAATACTACACAGTCTAATGTTTTTACTTGCTCCACTATAAGCTCCTGGACAGCAGGGACCCAGGGTCCATCTTGAGTTTCTTCCAGGGCCTGACTCAGATATTTGGTAACTGATGAAACCTATGGTTGTTTCCCACCTTTAAAGTAAGAGCAGATGCCCCAACTAACAGCCTCATTTAACAAGGAGGAGGGGGAGCAGAGAGGCACGCTGCTTGCTTAGGCTCTACCAGTGAGTCAGGGCAACGCTGAACATCCCGCTAGGTCTCTAACCCTGTGATGCTCCAGACTTGCTTAAGAGCAAAGGTTTTTACACATGGGGGGAAACTCATACCCTCACCAGAATTTCATAAAAAGTACAGAGCCATTTATTCTCAAACATCGCAAATAATTTCATAAGGTTATCAGACCCCTTGAGGCTCATCTGTGAATGCCAGATACCAGTGGTCTGAAGCATTCATTCACTGGACACATATTTACTGAGCATCATTCTAGGTCCTGCCATGGAGTTTTCATCCAATCGGAGGCACTCAAACACACACATATAGATATGTAATGGCAGCAGTATTATCAGAAATATAAATAGGGAGATAAGGGGTGCTATTTTATATGAGGCAGTCAGGGAAAGGCCTCTCTGAGAAGGTGTCATTTCAGCAGAGGCAAGAAAAAAGTGAAAGAACAAGTCAATTCAATTCCTGTTAGGTACCCCAAGGTGAAGAAACAGCAAAGGATAAGGTCCTGAGGCAGGAATGAACTTTATGACCAAGGAGAAGAGAGTAGAGTGAGCAGCTGTGTAGGATCAGTAGAACGCTGGGTCAAAGGGGAGCCACTGGAAGGTTCTTAGCAAAGAAATGACATGATCTGACTCATTTTTAAATGGTCCCTGTGGCTGCTGTGTTGAGAACAGAATGTAGAGGGGCAAGAGTGGAAATAGGGAAACCAGTTAAGAGGCTACTATATAATAGTCAAAAAGACACACTTGCACCAGGTAGCAGTAGAGGCGGTAAATTCTCAGGTTGTAGATATATTTTGAAGAGAGGGCCAACAAGATTTCTGAGATGAAATCTGAAAGAGAGAAATTAAAAATAAGACCTGAAGGTGAAACTATTCTGTATGATACTGTAATGGTGAATACAAGACATTAAGCATTTGTCAAAACCCATAGAACTGGACTTCCCTGGGGTCCAGTGGTTAAGAATCTGCCTTCCAATGCAGGGGACGCGGGTTCGATCCCTGGTCGGGGAACTAAGATCCCACATGTCGCAGGGCAACTAAGCCTGCGCGCCACAACTAGAGAAGCCTGCGCCCTGCAACTAGAGAAGCCTGTACACCACAACGAACAGCCTGTGTGCTGCAACTAAGACCCAGCAAACTTTACAGCACAAAGAGTAAACTTTAATGTACATGAATTAAAAAAAAAATCATTTAGGTATCCAGGATGGAATGCAGAATGTGACATTCTGAATCTAAATGTATTAGAAATGGATGAAGCGATTTCACTGAAGGGGTAGGGGGAATCAGGTGCTGACCTCAGTAACTTTGGAAATGGATGGAGTTTGTAAGACTAAAGGCAAAAGGAACTGTATATGTCACTGTACTCTAGTTAATAAAGTTGTTTCCCACATGGGATATAGGTTACCAATTCTAAAACAACTATACATGTACACTGGAATTGAACAATTAAGTAAATGGATGGTAGATGGTGGGAGCTAGGTTTGTTACAGTTGGAGTAGAAGGTTACAGTTAAGACAGAGGAGGCTAGAATGATCCATGTGAAATGGAAGAGTGTTGCAGACATCAGTATAAACTCATATTTAGATTAATATAGATACAGAAGGCTACATATTTATATATATAAATGTGTGTGTGTGTGTGTGTGTGTGTGTGTATGTATATATATATATATATATATATATATATATATATGTAGAGAGGGAGAGGAGAAGAAGAGGGAGATTAGTCTACACACATACATCTCTTGCTCTTTTGCTGACAGAGCCCAGAAACAGGGCATACCAGTAGCAATGAGCACACCTAGCACCCAGATCTTGGTGTCTGATACCATTCTCCAATAAAAGGAACCAGGGCTCCTGGGAGAAATGGTTAACTCTAGGACTGAAGCAGGAAATACACAAGATAAACCTGTAACAGAAAGTAAGAAAGTGTTCAAAAAAACCCAAAACACATTGATCGGGGTATGTCAAAGGGATATAGAAGCCACTTCAAAGAGCTCCCAATCGCCAAAGCCAGAACAATTTGGACAACAAAATAAATTAAGTAGTGCTGGATTATAACCCAAAGTATGAAAAGAAATATCCAAGACTATACTGATATAAATGATTTAATAAATACACAAATTTCCCATGGAGAATTTCAAACAATTTATGTAGATAATCTGTCTTGAAGTATGACGTATAATTCCACACTCCTTAAGCATGGGCTGTGCATAATGACTTCCTTCCAAGAGTACAATATGGAAAAGTGGGGGAAGGGGAGTAACTTTACAGTGGAAGAACTTGACTACCTCAAGCTAGTGATCTGGGTTAACATCAACTGTGGTAACTTATATTGAAAGTATATACCCTTGATGTGATATGATGAGAATGGCACTTTACCTCTGTGGTCTTCCTCCCCCAAACCTATAACTCCAATCTCATCATAAGAAAAACACCAAACAAATCCCAGCTGAGGGTCATTTTACAAGGTATCTGACCAGTAATACTCAAAACTGTCAAGTTTATCTAAACGAGATAAGTCTGAGGAACTATCACAGTCCTAGAAGCCCAAGGAGACACGACTAAATGTAATGTGGGATCCTGGAACAGACAAAGGACATTAGGAGAAAACTGAGCAAATCTGAAGAGCCCATTGACTTTAGTTAATAATAATTTACTGATATCAGTTCATTAATTGTGACAAAAGTATTATACTAATGTAAAATGTTAATAATAGGGAAAACTGTGTGGGAGATATATGGGAACTCACTGCAGCATCTTCACAATAATTTTGTAAATCTAAAATTGTTCTCGGGACTTCCCTGGTGGCACAGAGGTTAAGAATCCGCCTGCCAACGCAGGGAACATGGGTTCGAGCCCTGGTCCGGGAAGATCCCACATGCCGCGGAGCAACTAAGCCCGCGGGCCTAGAGCCCGTGCTCCACAACAAGAGAAGCCACCGCAATGAGATGCCCGCGCATCACAAAGAAGAGTAGCCCCCACTCGCCGCAACTAGAGAAAGCCCACACGTACCCTCAACACAGCCCCCCCAAAAAATAAAAATAAATAAATAATAAATAAATAAAATAGTTCTCAAATAAAAAGTTTATTAGAAAAAACAGTCACTATTTCAAAATAAATAAATAACCCCTGAGACATGTATAGCTGTCCAGACTTAGCAAACAGAAACTAAGTCTTCTCTTAGATTTAAAGAAACAGATTCCAAGGATGTTGGTAGGGGATCACTGGCTTCTAATGAAGTGATTCAAAAATTCTGTCCTGGGGCTTCCCTGGTGGCGCAGTGGTTGAGAGTCCGCCTGCCGATGCAGGGGACACGGGTTCGTGCCCCGGTCCAGGAAGATCCCACATGCCGTGGAGCGGCTGGGCCCGTGAGCCATGGCCGCTGAGCCTGTGCGTCCGGAGCCTGTGCTCCGCAACAGGAGAGGCCACAATAGTAAGAGGCCCGCGTACCACAAAAAAAAAATTCTGTCCTGAGAATTCAAAGGAAACAGACTGGGGTACAGAAAATCAGTGTCAGGAATTACTGCCTTACAGCCATGGGCTGTATACCCAGACCCGCCCCATTATAACAAATTCCCCAAAACTGCTCAAAACTGGGTTAGAATTTTGTCCTATGAAAAGATAAGCCATCTCCTAGAGCAGTCAAAACTGGCAGCCAGTAGGCTGAAGCTGGTGGGCAGATGTCCTACAAAACGTAATTATTAAATCCGAATTTGTTGCCACCACTTAAAAAGTGAGGTTTCACATACTCATTTCCCACTTCCCTTAAAAAGAAATAAATCAGCGAACACGCACTGTGCATTTACTAAGCGCCTTGCATTCACCAACTCATTTAATCCTCAGATTAACCCTATGCGCCTATTTTACAGAGGAGGAAACTGAGTACCAGAGAGGCAACCAGAGCTCGCCCACGGTTACATAGCAATAGGGGTACACTCAGGGGTCAAACCCCAGCCAGACTGACTCCAAGACTCTGGCTCCTCCTAAAGCTCCGTCAGTGGGAAGAAAGGCCAAGTCACAACTGTGAGGAGCACCGGGTTCTGGCCCTGCTCAGAACTAAAGCACTGAGGGACAGCAAGACAGGCTCTCCGCCCCCCTGGGACTCAAACTCCCCTCCCAAGTAACTTCCGAAAGAGCGACCCAGGAAGTTATTTTCGCCGCGCACGGAGTGGCCCCCGGGCCGGCAGAACAGCGCCGCCTGCGGCGCCCGAGCTTAAGCCCCTCTCCGTACCTCAGCATCTGCGACTCTACCCCGCCCTGAAGCCCGGGACCGGCCACGGCGTCACCGCACTCACCTCCAGCGCCGCCGCACCGCGCCCCCGGAAGTGGTTCCTTGCAACCTCGGTCCCGGAAGTGACGCTCCTGAGCAACCAGCGGGCTCAGCTCCGACCGCCCTCGTTGCTACGGTTGGTGGATCCGGGCCGCTGGGTTTTGTCAGACCTTTGTCCCAACCCAGTGGGTTTGAGCTGGACGGAGAGGACTACGGAAGTGAGATCCAGACACCGTCGATTCTTCAAGCCCCTTTATCACAGCCCATTTCAGCAAATGTTTATACACATTTATAGAAGCCTTTTTTTTTTTTTGAAGTAGATCTACAATGTTGTGTAAGTTTCAGGTGTACGGCAGAGATTCTGTTATATACATATACATATATACATATATATGTATATATATATATTCTTTTTCAGATTTTTTTCCATTACAGGTTGTTATAAGATATTGAATATAGTTTCCTATGCTATACAGTAGGTCCTTGTTGTTTATTTATTTTATATATAGTAGTGTGTATCAGTTAATCCCCAATTCCTAACTTATCCCTTCCCCTCTTCCCCTTTGGTAACCATAAGTTTGTTTTCTATATCTGTGAGTCTATTTCTGTTTTGTAAGTAAGTTCATTTGTATCACTTTTTTAAATTCAACAAAGAGGTGATATCATATGATATTTGTCTTTCTCTGACTTACTTCACTTAGTATAATCTGTAGGTCCATCCATGTTGCTGCAAATGGCATTATTTTGTTCTTTTTTATGGCAGAGTAGATGGTATATATGTACCACATCTTCTTTATCCGTTCATCTGTCAGTGGACATTTAGGCTGCTTTCATGTCTTGGTATTGTAAACAGTGCTGTTGTGAACATTGGAGTGCATGTGTCTTTTTGAATTAGAGTTTTCATCTTTTCTGGACATATGCCCAGGAGTGAGATTGTTGGATCATATGGTAACTGTGGTTTTTTAAGGAACCTCCATACTGTTCTCCATAGTGGCTGTATCAATTTACATTCCCACCAACAGCGCAGGAGGGTTCCCTTTTCTCCACACCCTCTCCAGCATTTATTATTTGTACACTTTTTGATGATGGCCATTCTGGCCAGTGTGAGGTGATGCCTCATTGTAGTTTTGATTTACATTGTATAGAAGACTTAATTCTATGCCAGGCCCTGAGCCTACAATGAAATGCAGAGAGGAGACAAACAAGCACAGTTTTGTAATTCAGACAGAAGCAAATTATTAAAATTCATTCAAAACATTCACCGAGTACCTACTCTATGGCTTGTGCTGGTTGTTGAACCAGACAGATGGAGTCTCTGCCTTTGTGGAGCTTAAGTTTGAACATATTATCATATAATGTGATAAGTGTTTGGATGGCAGTACAGAGTTCCTGACTGAGTATTGGTGGGGCAAGTAATGGGGAGAAAGGAGATCTAATAGGACTTGGTAATCAGCCTTCACTATGAACCTGAGTGATTCTTGACTCCTGGTATCCATGCCCTTGTATAGCCCCTTCCCACATTGAATAGGGCTGACAGATATAGTCAATAGGATATTGTGGAAATCATGGAGTATGAGTTCCAAGATGAAGACATAAAAAACATTGTTCTTCCTCATTGCTCTGTCTTGATCATTCATCAGGGATCCATGTTGTGAGGACACTCAAGCAGCCCTGGGGAGAGGCTTGCATGAATAATAACCAAGCCTCTTGCCAACAACCACCTCCAACTTGCCAGCCATGTGTGTGAGCCATCTTGGGAGTGTATCCTCCAGCCTCAGTCAAACCTTCAGGTAACTGCAGCCCTGGCCAAAATCTTGAATATAATCTCATGAGAGACCTTGAGCCAGAAACAGTCAACAAAATCACTCTTGAATTCCTGACCCATAGAAGTTGTGAAATAATAAATATTACTATTTTAAGCTCCTAAGTTTCAAGGTAATTTTTTTTCAGCATAGATAACTAGTACAGAGAAGATCAAGGAGGAGGGGTTGGATGCTAAAGATTCAAAAAAGAATGAGACCTAGGGCTTCCCTGGTGGCGCAGTGGTTGAGAGACTGCCTGCTGATGCAGGGGACATGGGTTCGTGCCCCGGTCCGCGAAGATCCCACATGCCGCGGAGCGGCTGGGCCCGTGAGCCATGGCCGCTGAGCCTGCGCATCCAGAGCCTGTGCTCCGCAACAGGAGAGGCCACAACAGTGAGAGGCCCGCGTACCGCAAAAAAAAAACAAAAAAAAAAAGAATGAGACCTAATCTTATCCTCAAGGAGCTCACTCTCTCCTGGAGGACACAGACAGAAATAATTATAATTCACTCAACATCCACTAATCCCATACTATGTGAGATGATATGGAGGATCCAAAGATGTATTATTTATTCATTTATTCAACGAATATTTATGGAGTTTCTGTTCTGGATCATACACTATGGAATCAGGAAGGCAATAGTGAGTAATTGGGTCCCTACCCTCACTGTGTTTACAGACCAGGGGTTATCTGACACCCTCATTAATCAATCACAAAGAAATGTATATTTATGAACCATGAGGTGTGTAGGGAGGAAATAAGAGGAAACCATGAGAGAATAAATAGCATGGGAGATACAATCAAGAAAAGGTGATCGGGGAAGGTCTCTCTGTGGAGGTAACAGTTAAACTTAGAAACAAAGAATGAATAGGAATTTGCCAGGCACAAAAGGAATAAGCATGGTGGGAGGTGGAAAGGCTGTTGGAAAGGCTTGGCGCATAAGACAGTGGGGAGAAGCTGAGGCCTGAGAGGTACAGATATTTAGGCAACTTCCCTGTCAGTCCAGTGGTTAGGACTCGGTGCTTTCACTGCTGTAGGCCCGGGCCCAGGTTCCATCCCTGGTTGGGGAATTGAGATCCCACAAGCTGCGCTCGCCACAGTCAAAAAAAAGAAAGGAAGGAGGGAGGAAAGAGAGAGAGAGAGGAAGGAAGCAAGGGAGGGAGGGAGGGAGGAAGGAAGGAAAGGAAGGAAGGAAGGAAGGAAGGGAAGGAAGAAAAATAGAGAGAGACAGAGAAAGAAAGGAAGCAAGGAAAGAAGGGAGGCAGGGAGAGAGAAAGAAAGAAAGGAAGAACGAAAGAAAGGAAGAAAGAAAAGGAAAGAAAGAAAAAAAGAAAGGAAGAGAGAGAGAAAGAAAAAAGGAAGCAAGGAAGGAAGAAAGGGTGGGAGGGAGAGAGAGAGAAAGAAAGAAGGAAGGAAAGATACAGATATTTAGGACAAGACTTGGTACTTGTCCTGGAGGGGCTCACTGTGGGGTGTGAATGAGGAGGATCATAGGAGACAGAGATGTCTTATATGTTGAATTGTGTCCCCCCAAAAAGATTTGTTGGAGAACTAACCCCAGTACCTCAGAATGTGATCATGTATGGAGACAGGGTCTTTGCAGAGGTAGTCAAATTAAAATGAGGTTATTAGGATGGGCCCTAATCCAATATGACTGGTGTCTTCATTAAACAGGGAAATTTGGACACGATGCACACGTAAGGGAGAATGCCGTGTAAAAATGAAAGCAGAGCTCAGGGTGAGGCTTTTACAAGCCAGGGAAGCCAAAAATTGCAGCAAACCGCTGGAAGCTACGGGAGAGACATGGAACAGATTCCTCCCCACAGTCCTCAGCCTTGATTTCTGATTCCTAGCCTCCAGAACTGTGGGAAAATAATTATCTGTTATTTAAGCCACCCAGTTTGTGGTACTGCGTTATGGCAGCCATAGCAAACTAATACAGATGTGCAGGTGCTTTGAAACCTGTTACTATCTGTATCCAAATGTGAAAAATCCCCAGCATGGCTGCTGCAAGCACAGCTACTTTCTTACTCTCTGGAAGCTTCTGGAGGGATCCAGCTGAGTCTTACTCATCTCTGTGCCCTGCATGGCTTCATTAGCACCACAGCATGGTGGAGCGCTCTGTGGCGTGCTTGTTCCTATCCATAATATCTATGCGAGGCACACTGCTTGCACGATGAAAGAGAAAACGTTGAAAAAGGCATGGTGTCTCTCTGAGAAAATTTTCTAAACTAGATTAACACGACAGGGTGAACCAGTTTGAAATGATTAATTATAGCTGCCATCTATTGAGTATTCATCAGGTGCGCAGCACTTTACATATATCAATATCCTCCCCCCAGCAAACCTGTAAGGCAGGTATTATTCCCATCTACAGATGAAGAGACCTAGGGCCAGAGAAGTTAAGCAACTTCCCCAAGTCCCCACAGAGACTGCATGCATAACCACTGTACTACCCAGCTAAGCTGTTCAAGCCAGATGAGCACTCCAGGCATGAGTGCTCTAGGATGAAGGGAAGCTTTAGCAGAGAATGAGGTATCTGGGAAGGCTTCATGAGGGAGGTGGCTCGACGTGGGTCCCGGATGATAGGCTGGATTTGGATATGGGCAAAGGAAAGTAGAGGCACAAGACTTGCTTTTTCACCTCCTAGCCTTTGCCTTTGTTGGTGTCTTTGTCTGGAATGCTGTCTTCTCCCAGCTCTTTACAAGACAGGCTCATTCTCATACCTCAGGGCTCTGCCCAAATACTACTTTTCAGAAAGGGCTTCCGTGATCGTCCTTTCTAGCTAACTGTTTTTTCTAGAAATGGCTCCAGCAGTATTGCCCATCCCGCAGGGGCTCTTCTGCCCCATGACTGCTTGGACCCATAGCGTACAGTGGAAGAGATGTTGTGTCCGTTTCAGGCATGGCACTTAACTGGCCTGGAAGTCAGTCACCATGCAAGAAGTGCGACCAGCCTGAGACCACTGAGCTGGGAGGAGCCCAAGCCACGTGGGGAGGAAGGGAATCAGAGGAGCATCAGATACCAGACCCGGGAGTGAAGAAGCCATCTTGGAAAGGTGGAAAGATGGACAGGTGTGTGATAAAGCAAAGGTGGTAGAACGTTAAGTGTAGAATCTAGGTGGTAGGTATAGCATGTGCTGTATAATTCTTTCAACTTTTTTTGTATGTTTGAAATTTTTCACTACAAAGTTGTGGGCAAAAAAGAAACCATCTTGGAAGTGGACTCCGCAGCCCCAGACACCTCAGCTGATACCACATGGAACAGAGATGAACCTCCCAGCCCAGTCTTTCCCAAATACCTGACCCACAAAATCATGATCTAAATAAATGGGTATTTTAAGCCACTAAGTTTTGGGGTATAGATTACAGAAATTCTCTTTCTAAGTAGACCTTCCTTACTTTTTATCACAGCTTCCTGCCTGTTTCTTTTATAACATTATCACAATCTGTAATTGTCTTATTTGCCTATTTATCGTCAGTTTCTCCCCCTCTAGAATGTAAACTCTATTTCCTTTGTTCACTCCTGCCTCTCAGCACCTAGCACACTGCCTGGTACATGTAGGCTCAAATGAATGTTTGTTGAGTGACTAACTGGGACCAGGAGATGGAGCCTTTCTGAAGAGTACTAGAAGACAACATGGAATTCACAGAATAGGGGAAAAGCTGGTATTTGTCACTTCGGCTGCCCGAAATCTGAACCCCCATTTGTGGGAATCCCAAGAGGTAGGAAGAGGCAGATGGATGGGATGCACACACCCTCTCCTCAGTCCCTGCTGGAGCAAAGATGCTGAACTTAACCACGACCCATCAGAAGCCCCCACCCCAGGCAGCAATGCCAGCTGCAAGGGTCAGCCAGAGACTGTGGTGAGTTCCGAGTCCAGGACCTTGTTCAGAGCAGGGATCTTGGCCACACCTGGCCTTGGGTGGGGTTCTTGCCTGAGCCCAGTTCTGCAGTGTTCCATCAACTCCTTCTCTGCCCTTAGGTTCAGCTCCAGGGAGAAACCAGGAATGCTGAGCATGGTACATCCTGATGAATCCAGAATGCAGGACCAAAACGAGGGGCCGCTTTCCTCCAAATGGTGAGGACATCTTCTACATGCCAGAAAGGCCAGCAATACATTCATTTCAGAACCAGCAGAGCCCAAACAACAGTGGAGGCTCACCACATTCTGGACTCTTTTTCTGGGCCTCCAGGAGCCTTCTAGCAGATAACCAACTTTGATAGTTCAAGGCCTGTCCTCTTGCTTTCTACAAGGTGTGAACTAAGGGCTGGATTCCACACTTGGTGTCTATAAACCCATGGTACCCAGGTCCTATTCCTGTGCTGTAGGATCTTCCAGGAGCAGGTCTGCTACAAAGGAGGTGTGGTTCGCATTTCAATGCTGGGCTCATTAGAGAGGTCATCAAACAGAATTTCCATCAGAAGGTAGATTACACGTCAACACCACAGAGGGTTTGCCCTTCCCAGGAAAATCCAAATGCTATAACTTGTTCTTGAGACCCAAGGTTTCCCACAGTTTTGAAATCTGAAAAGCTTTATCCAGCAGACATCCATTAAGTGCCAACTGTATGTCAGGGAAACACTGGAGACAAGATCTTGGGCTCTGGTGGGAGAGACAGACATAGACACTAACACAGTAGGATATTTTGAGTTCTACAAAGGAAGTGTGTGCAGAATGACATAAGAACCCGGGAGAAGCAGCAGACTCTGCCTTTGGCAATCATGGAAGGCTTCCCAGAGTAGGTGACATTCAATCTATAGGAGGAGATTACAATTGAAGCAAAGGTCCAGGCCGGAGCTCATACTTCCAAATCCCCCTGAGGAGTCCAGAGTCCAGAACTTCATCTCCCTGCTTCAGCCATGGAAGCAGCAAAAGCTTCACACGCAACCAGCATCTGGATGGTACTAATTACCTCCACGTTTATGAAGTGCCTCATTAAACTTGACTCAAACCAACAGCATAGTTGGCTCCCTGGGTTAAATCCACGCTAAATATTCAGTTACACACAGCACAAGCGAATCATATTTGGTGGGGTTCCGTTCACTTGTCCTGTGAAGGTGGTTTTCCAGCTGAATAATGATGCTGCCCTTTAATTGCGTGCTGTCTTCCTCCTGGGGGACTTTAGGTGGGACCATCTTCCCAGAGGGAGCCAGAAACTGGGTGTCGTCATCTCCGTTTTATAGTTGCATGGACTCAGTAAAGAGATCTGGCCCCAGCCGCATAAACTGCAATCTTACTCCTCCCTCGGAGCCCAGCTCAAATTACCTCATCTTAAAAGATCTTTTGGTTCCCCCATCAGAATTTCCCTGCCATACATGACCCTGGAAGAAGCTGAGAGAAACGGCTGAGCGCTCACTGTGTACAGAGCTCTGTGACGGGGAGTTGACAGCATTCACTCACTTGATCTAACAACACTGAGGGTGTGTTCCCATTTCACAGCTGAGGAGACTCAGGCACAGAGAAGCTGAGTAATGGGTCTTGGATTACACAACTAATTAGTCAGGATTCAAACCCAGGCCTCTAAGCCCATTGTCTTAACCACACACAATCCTGGCACATTCATTCAACAAGTATTAATTGAGCACCTATGGTACACCCCGTGCTTGCCAGGAGTATAGTACTTGCTAGGGATGCAGTAGGGAAGGAAACATGATCTTTGCCCTAACAAAGATTATCGTCTAGCAGGGAAGACAGATGTGAAACACTTCCACAATCATTTAATTACACACCAGGCATCAGTCAATGTTAGCAGAATTTAACTGAACTAGCTAAGACATTAGCAGGGCAAGAAAAGAAATCAGGTCTCTGGATGGCTCTTTCTTGTCTGCAATTCAGGAGTCAGTCAACTCTTCCTTTTTTCTTAGATTCTGTAGCTAAGCAATGCCTACAGAGGCCCACAATTGCATTGGGAGTTTCCAGAAACCACTTCCCTCTCTGAATCACAGCTTTCCCAGCTGTAAAATGGGGATGAAAATAGCAAAAGACTGGAAGTAAGCCAAATATCCATCAACAGGGGGCCACTTAAAGAAGTGGTGGTACATCTACACCCTGGAATATGCAGCTATTAAAAAGCATGAGGCAACTCTAAATGCTGGACAAGGATCGCTAAGACCTAGACCCCAGGGAGTCGTGTGACTTACTTTTTTTTGTCTTTTTTTTTTTTGGTCGCACCACATGTGGGTTCTTAGTTCCCTGACCAGGGATCGAACCCGTGGCCCCTGCATTGGAAGCATGGAGTCTTAACCACTGGACCACCAGGGAAGTCCAACTTACTCTTAATGTGTGCCATTTTGTACCTTTAGAATTTTGCACTCTGTGCATGTACCTTATCAAAACAAATTCAAGGACATTTTAATACAACATTTTGATGGGGATAAAAAAGCAGTCAAATAGCCAGGCTCACATGGGCCCATTGGTGGTATTATTGTTAGTTTCAAAGGAGAGGTTAGATTTGGCAGCCCTTGGAAAATCTAAAACAATTAGAGCACATGTTGCTCCTAATGAGATGAGGGAGGAATAAGGGCCAAACGGAGAAGAAAGGAGGAGGAAATGAGGAGAAAAACGAAGAGGCCAGGCAGAGGCCAACAGAGAAAAAAATCCACAATTACTTTAGTGCCGCCGAGACCCCAAGGCAGCTGTGCTACCTGCTTCTTTCTAGCCAGCTGCCAGGTTGCCATGGTAATGTAATAGCCAGTGGTAAGCTTATTTATGATTCTGAAAACATTAAAAAAAAAAAAACCCACCAGCAAGCTGCAGATATGCAGCAGTGAGCAGAGAAGGTACCTGCATGAGAGGAGGCGTCAAGGTGACCTTCCTGGAGCTTGAGGTCCCCCCTTGAAAACTGGTGGGGTCAGCCTAGAGCAGTGGGTTGCGAACCTGAGCGTGTAGCCAAATCATCTGGAAGGCCGGTTAAAATGCTCCACCCATCCCCGGAGATTCAGATTCAATAGGTCTGGGCTGGGGCATTTCGAACAAGTTCCCAGGAGGTATGGAAACCGACGTTTGGGGACCACCACCCTAATGATCTCTAAAGGCCTCTCCAACTCGAGATTCCATGAGCTGTGGGCTCCAGCTCCCGCTCGCCCTGAAGTGGATACTGCTTAAGTATTTAGGGGTAAAGCACATCCAGCCCCTCTATCAGCTCCTCTATTAACTAAGTAGTTACAACATCCTGACAGAGGACCCATGTGGGTTGTAAGGTAGCCCGAAGCACCTGGTGGGCCAAGGGCTTAGAGGGCAGTTTCCAAAGCCGAAGCCAGCACCGCATACGAGCAATTGCTTGGGAGGATGGGCCAGCACTCCAGCTGTCTTTGCCAGAACTCTCTCATGGGGCCAGTTAACTGGGTGTGATGGCCAGCAGGTGCCACTGAGCCAGAGGAAAGGCGTCTGTCAGTCAGGACTGTGGCTGAGCAAGGGCCAGAGCTGGTGGGAGAGGATTTGAAAATGACAGAAGCCAAATCTTCAGGCACTACCGCAGTGGGATTCTGATTCCCCACAGAAATGGAGGCGAGTAGACAAATCCAAACACCCAACCCCATCCAACGCACACGGCATCCCAAGTGAGAAAGTTCACGGCTGGGGCAGGATGCAATACTTGCGACGAGTCCCTTCAAATTCAGGATTTCTTGTACATTCAACAAATATTTTTAGAGCACCAGTGTTGTGCCAGACACTCTGCTGGGCGCTGCACACGTGGGCAGTGGGCAAGAGTGGCCCCTGCCCTCATGGAGCCTACATTTAAGTCAAAGGAAACAGACGGTTCAGAGAATCAGATGGTTTAATTGTGCTGTGGTTACATAAGTGAATGATTTTGTACTTAGGAAATAATGCTTAAGTACATAAGGGTAAAGGGGCAAGATGTCTGCAACTTATTCTCAAGAAGCTCAGAAAAAAATAATCAATGTATTATCTATACATGTATGATTACATTTAACACACACACGCACACGCACACACACAGAAAATGATACAGCAAATGTGACAAAATGTTAATTGTTGAATCTGGGCCAAAAAGTATATGGGAGGGAGTTCTTTGTATCATTCTTATTTTTCTGAAAGCTTGAAATTATTTCAAAATTAGAAATTTAAAAAAAGATCACATTCTGAAATTGCAACTTGTCCTTTCTCTTAGCATTACAGATTTTTCCAAAAGAACTTTTTTGTGTGGAATATTGATGTGTGGAAGTGAAGGAGCTGGTCTGCTGAACCAGGAGTAGTTTGAGTTACTGAACTGTCATTTTTGCACCTTTGAATACTTTGCAGGCTGGCTTTGTATAAACGTATCCTCTGTTTTCCTATATGTTGTAAATATTTAGACCATAATTTCATTATAAATAAGTGAATAAACAAAAAATTTTTTAAAGGCTCACATAAATACATGACAAATTATAAACAGTGAAGAGTGCTTTTTTTTTTTAAGTATGTAGTGGTGTAAGGACCTAAAGACAGAGTGGTTTGTCTTAGATAGGGAGGTCAAGGAGGGCTTCCTGGAGGCGGCAGGTTTGAACTGAGGTCTGAGTGAAAGTTGACCAGAGGAGGAGAGTTGCCTTCCAGGCAGAGGACACAGCTCCGGCAGAAGGTCTTCGTGGGAAAGAGCAGAGCACACTGGAGGAACCAAAGGAGAGAAATCAGGGCAGCTGGAGCTGAGCGCTACACATCCTCTCCTTCCCAGCAGAATGGCAAGGAGCTGGGTCGGGGGCAGGGTTTCTGGAAAGGGCTGCTATTCGGGCCCAGGATGAGGTCTGTTTTGTTTCTCCCCTACCCTTTCCAGCTCATGTTCTCGTGTATCTTCCTTTGGCTCCCCTCCGACCCCAGCTCTTAAGATTCTGCTTGAATGCAGCTCCCCAGGCCAAGGTCCAGAATCCCAGCAACGTATGGCAATGTGAGCTGACAGCTTCTCACTGGCCCCTTCCCTTTAGCTCCATCTCAGCCCCAAATCCCTGGTTGCCATCCATCAACCCCTTTTCCTGCCATAAAAAAACCCACTGGGCTGTCATTTAAACTTATTTCTACAATTTGCTTCCTGGGTCTCAGGCAACCAGCTCCATCTGTGGATGGCTCTGTGCAGTTTCTATCTGGTCTCCATCCACCGCTGGTTTCCTGAGAGCTCACATGGAGCTGCCTTTTGGATTTCCTCCAGGGGCTCAGCCAAGTGCAGCCCCAGGTGATTCTGGAGCATGAACCTGTATGATAAAAGCGTGGTGTCTCCATGGCATCCTTCATCTAGGTTAGCCAAGCATTTTGCAGACATGAGGTAACATGGAACCAAACCCTGGTAACACTTTCTAAACTCCAGGGGATGAGCGCCATTTATTAGTTGTTCATTGAATCACAGAATTAAGAACTTAAAAGGCAATTTTGAGATCCTGGGATCTAACGCTCTCAGGATGCACATCAGCTCAGAGAGGTGAAGTAACTTGGCCAAGGTTACAGAGCAAGTTTGTAGAGGAGCTGGGCCTATAAACCAGGTTTCCTGAAGCTCAGTGGAAAGGCAGAGTCCAGTTAATGCACCAGGTAATAAACAATATACATGACCTCCCAGGAAGCTAACGTTCTTACAGCAGCAGCAAGACAGTCCTTATCTAAGAAGTGAGCGGTCTGGAGAGGCTAGGTGGGAAACCGGCCCAATGAGTCTGTCTCCTTACGTTTAACAGCTACTTGTTGTGTTATTTTTATCCGTTTGGTTTAACTTTAGACCCGGTTCCTATTTCACATTTAAGACTACAGGCCCTTGGGTGAGGAAAAGGAAGTCAGGAAGAAGATTCTTTTCGTTTGTATTCTGCAAACCTTTCCAGACTTTTTTTTTTTTTTTTTCCTTTATAACATTTCCTTTCCAGGGCCCCCAAAGCTTCTCAAATCTCCTGCATTTCCAATCCCCTGTTCAGCCCTCACTGTAATTATCTTGGGAAAATTTAAATTCCTTATCGTGGCTTTGTGACAATACTGGCTCAGGATAAGCACATTCTGAGGTCTTGTCAAATTGCCCTCAGTAGGTTCACTTAATAGGAATTACCGTTAGATTTTTCTTTAAGTGTGATAATGGTATTGTGACGCTGTTAAAGAAAGAGCCCTTATCTTGTTGAGATACAGACTGAAATATTTATGGATTACGTGATATGAAGTCTGGGATTTGCATCAAAATACTCTTGTGGGGAGAGGTCAAGAAAAACACGCTCCCTTAATACACTGTTCTCCACTGCCTTTCTCTCGCAAGTTGGTTTTTTGCTGCATCTGCCCCTCCCCCAATCTATGAATCTGTTTATCTCATATCTGGGGATGGGATTTGCCTCCTGGGGTCGTAGCAGAGAAGAGAATATATAGGTGCTGGAGCCAAAGACGCTTAGATTCAAATCCCAGCCCCACCCTGATGAGCACAGGGACCAAGGACAAGGCATTTAAGTGTCTGTCTTAGTCCTAGTTTTTCCATCTGCAAAGTGGAGATAATACATTGACAACAAAGAGCCTACTTTTCTAATTTGTTCTTTTCCTCCACTTTTTCCAATTCTGCCTCCACCTGCCCTGAAAATGTGTCTTCTCTCCAGGAACCCCCCTTGGTGCTTAGCGGTTCCTCCCACCACCCCCACTGCCTCCTCTGTGCTGGCTCCCTGCACCCCCAGCCCAGATGGAGCTCCAGACTGGATCCAAGAGCCTGTTACCCACTTCCTCCTGGAGGCGCCTTGAGTCCGGAAAAACTCAACATTTGTAAATTGGAACTCATTGCTCTTCCTCCCAATCTGCCCCCCAAAGCATCCGATCAGCCCTCAAGGCCCCCAGCCCCTCCCCCTCCTCCCCCTCCCTCATCCCGTCTACCTCAGGCCCGTGGTCCCATCTTCCAGAGAGCCCTCTCAAATCCACCTCAGGTGCCCCACCCACCTCCTCGGTGGGCCTTGGCTCAGGCCCTCAGGCCCGCAGACCTGGCCAGCTCTAAAAGCTTCCTACCCGGGCTCCTTCCCCGGGGCCTCTCTGCTTTCAGTCCCCCATCCAGGCTGCTGGCAAGATGCTTCTTCCAAAACCACCACTCTTGGGCTTGAAGGCCTCCCATGGGCTCTCGCTGCTGAGAAGAGAAAAGGCCCAAATTCCTTAGCAAGGTATTTGACACCCTGCACAGCTTGGCCTCCACTTATGGTTCCAGAATCGTCCTCTGCATTCCCTGCAGAGGAAGCACTAGGCCTGGGTTTCTCAGACTGCCATCTCTCACCTCTGCACCATAATCATCTGGGGCCTTGGTGGAAAATGCAGAACCCTGGGCCCTACCCCAGACGACTGCATCGGGGGGTCTAGGCCCAAAGCACACAAAAGCTGAGCATCCTCACTCTAGCCACAGCAAGCTGCTTGCCTGGATCGTGCCTCCAGGCCTCTGTTCATGCTGTATCAATGCTTCCCGTCTCTCCAAGGCCTAGCCTAAATGTCAGCTCCTCTGCAAAGCCTCTCCTCCTCCCCAGCAGAGTGAATTCCCCACCCACTCTGCTCCTATAGCACCAGGCACACACCTCTACTGTAGACCGTGTGTATCACACTGTATGTAATTATGTGTTTGCTGCCTGCCTGCCTTCCCAGCTAGAATGAAATCTCCACCAAAGCAAGTCCCCAGAATGCCTGGAGCCCCCGACACAGTGAATGGCACCCAGCAGGCACTTGATAAATATTAATTAATTTAAATTGTATCTTACTATTTCTTGGCTCCTGGATCTCAAACATAATGCTTAGCTCCCGGCAAGGTTTTACTACAATGATGTCTGATGGATGAATTATCAAAGGAAAGATGAGAGCCTGAAATGAATGATGAAATATGTAAATAAGCTAATGATGAATTTTCATCATTGATTAGTATTCTGGAAAGCCTGTGTGTGCCTGAGACCATCTCTAACCTAAAGGACGTGTGAATCGGGTCCGATGTGAGCCCAGGACTTTTGGTTTCAGGTTCACTGCTGAAATCACCAAAGTTCTGATATTAATCAGAAATGTCACTGTCACCATGATGAGTGCCATGTGAAAAGTACAGGGCCATCTCCCGTCACAACTTCCCTGGCATCAGCCATAGGAAATCCTCACTTATCACACTTATCATTCCACCTCACAGGGTCCACAGAGAGCCTACTGATACTGCTCAAAGGAAATCTGATATCGGTCACTAGGAGCTGGCAGAAATCAGCCTTCAGATGCTGAGTCTGGAAAATTCCCTGGAGGTCCAGTGGTTAGGACTCTGCACTTTCACTGCCGAGGACCCGGGTTCGATCCCTGGTCGGGGAACTAAGATTCCCACAAGCCACACAGCATGGTCCCAAAAAAATGCTGAGGCTGGGGTAGCCGGTAGCACTGCTGGAGCGAGGGCGGTAAGGCTTGTCTGGAGGGAGACGGGTGCCGCTTCTAGCCCTGGCTTCCCCATTTACTGTCTGTGTGAGGTTGGACAATTTACCCAATGGCTCCAAGCCCAATGGCTTCTTCCACCATAAAATGAGATCACTTTATGCTCCTAACCCTTAAGGTTATTGAAGATCACGTATGTTACATGACTAGCACATAGTAAGCATCAAGAGATGATACTCCTATGCTGCTGTGACCCAGGACAACTAGATTCCTGTAAACGATTGGGTGGCGCTGAGTGGGGCTGACCCACAGGCTGGAATGACAGGCGTTAGGAAGCCAAGTCTCCACCATCCATTAGGGATGGATTCCCAGGTTAGAGGAGAATTCCAGCTCCAAGGGTGATGCTGAGTATGGATACAGATCTTCCTTCTGCTCTGTAGCCTGGATGCTCAGAGAAAAATGATGCAGGATGAGGGAAGGCCAGGAGGATATGGCCAGATGGGGAGCTTTGGCCCCAGAGGGAAACCCAGCAATTCTGCTTCCAGTCTGGAGTAAGGGCTCTTTGGCCAGGTTTGCTGCATCCACGGCTAATGGAGCTCCCTTAACTGCACTATAACCACAGAGGGGAAGTGAAGCCATAACCCCGCCCCTGGTACTGGGCACCGATTTCAGATGGGAAACTGGAAACTAGAGTGCCAGGCGGGCCTTGGGTTTTTCCTATAGACACTCGACTTTCTGTCTCTGTGTCTGCAAGTCCTGTTGTCACTGAGATGCAACAACTCAGACTCCAAGTGAGAAGGGGCCTCCCAAAAGATGTCTTCGTCCTCACCCGGCCACGTTCTTGCCTGATGAGCCAGGCCCTAGGGAGGCTCCAAGGGCTGAGTTTTCTCCTTTGGGCTTCCTCCTGGGGATCCTGGGGCAGGGGCTGGGCTTGGGGATCACACAGCCTCTCCTAACTGGAAACACAAGTGAGAACCCAGGGCAGGAACTGGGCAGAGAAAGATGGGGAGCCTGGGTGGCTGAGGAGAGGATGGCCTGGTGGATGTAATTGACCTGGACCCCTCGGTGCTCCTAGGCTTTCAAAAC